GACTAATCAATCAATTAACACTATAATCATAGTTTATTAATCAATTAATTAATATAATTATTATTTTTAATTAATATAATCACAATTTACAAATCAATCAATTAATTAATATGATCATTATTTACTAATCAATTAAATAATATCATCAAAATTTTATAATCAATTAATTAATTGATTAATTTAATTAATCATATGGCTTACTTAACAATTAAATGTGTAATTATGATTTATTAATCAATCAACTACAAAAATTACAATTATAATTTACTAATAAATTAATTAATCAGTATAATTATATTTTTTTGATCAATTAAAGAATATAATCACAATTTACTAATTAATCACCATACTCATAATTTATTAATTAATTAAAAAATATAATTATAATTTAGTAATTAGCAAATTACTCACTATAATTATAATTGTAAAATTGAGTTACACAATTTAATCACATTTTTCTCTAATCAATCAATTAATCAATTAATTACAATTTACCAATTACTAATCACAAATTTTTAAAAATTTTTCTAAATTAAATTTCTAAAAGAATTGGAAATCTGCTTCTGCTTTTCCATGCATTTCCAATTTTTATTTTGGTCAGCTTGAGGAAATCTGCATGAAGATTTCCAACTCTTGTTTTGGTCAGCATGACTGACCGAAACATGGAGACAATCCACCGAGCAGATTTCCAACTCCTGTGGCTGACCGAAACATCTTTGCAATTTTAGAACTATCGTCAAGTTCAGAATTTTATTTCGGTCAATATTTATGACCGAAATAATAATATTTTATTTTATTTATTAATATTTAATTCTAAAAAAAGTATAGATATTTTTTTATTTTTATTCAGTCAGTTTTCTTGACCGAATAAATGGGTAGGCAACATTCGGTCAAGACACTTGACCGATTTGGTTTGACACCAATTGGCACCAAATTAATTCAATCAAGATACATGACTGAAATAAAATGGGACCGAATTGTATGCTTTTTTCCATTATTTTCGGTCATTTTTAATTTTCGGTCATTAAATTTGTCCGAATTAATTATTTTTTCGGTCAAAAAATTATTTGACCGAAATATTCTGACCGAAATGGTCAAATTTCTAGTAGTGAGAGATTGATCCCATTCTGTAATCCTGTATGGCTAGTTAAAAGCAATGTTTTTGAACCCGGCCCTGTGGCTGGCCCGTTTTGACCATCGGGTCCGGGTCAACCGGTTGAACCAGTTCACCCGACCGATTCAACCGGTCAACTAAAAAAATTTTTTTTTTTGACATTTTTATTGAATTTTACTGTGTAGGTTAGTTTCTCCTTCATGAATCAAGATCCCAAAACCCAATCACCCGAACCTTAATCTCCAAATCCCCCGCCCCAATGAACCAAACTCCCTCTCCTCCTCCTTCCCCCGCCTTCGACGGCGACCCCGGAATGGACGGCGCCTGGTATGGCAACATCCAATACCTTCTCAACATCTCCACAATCGGTCTCTTTTGTTGCGTCTTCATCTTCGTCTTCCTCAAGCTCCGTAGCGACCACCGCCGCATGCCTGGCCCTGCTGCTCTATTTTCCAAGCTGCTTGCAGTCTGGCACGAGACTAGCCGCGAGATCGCCGTCCATTGTGGGGCTGATGCTGCGCAGTTTCTCTTGATTGAAGGCGGTAGCTTCGTTATGCTTCTGTCCGTTGCTTTTCTATCGAAAGAGAAGAAGTGCAGTGACAGAGGAGAAGATCGGCGGACGATCGGTGGAAGAGAAATCGGCGGACGATCGGCGAAGAGAAGATCGACGGATTCTGCAGTTCTGTTGGCTCCTCCTATCTGGGTTTTGCAATTTGTTTCCACTGTCCCGAGCTCTTAATGATCTTAGATTCTTAGCGTTTTTAGTTTTTAGGTTTTAGTTTTTACTTAGTTAATTAGTTTAATTGATTTTTAATTTAAGTTTTAAACTTTAATTTAAGTCAAAAA